AGCTGTTACTTACCTCTCCTGCAGCTCCTGTCAGCTCCCTCCTCCTCCGCGCCGGTCCGTGCAGCTCCTCTGTCAGCTCACACTGTAAGTCTCGCGAGAGCCGCACTATGACCCCGCGGCTCTCGCGAGACTTACACTGGGAGCTGACCGAGGTGCTGACCGGACCGGCGCGGAGGAGGAGAGAGCTGACAGGAGCTGCAGGAAAGGTAAGTAACAGCTCTGCCAGCCCCCAGTCTGTATTATGGCAATGTAAATTGCCATAATACAGACTGACTCGGGTATAAGCCGAGTGGGGGTTTTTCAGCACAAAAAATGTGCTGAAAAACTCGGCTTATACTCGAGTATATACGGTAACTATGTAAAAACAAACAAACAGTAATGAAAACTGAATTGTAAAATCTAGGCAAACATTTTTTGGGAAATGTTCTCCAATTCAGTAATAGTCATATTGTGTCTATGTTAGCCTAAAATGACCAATTTGGTTTTAAATTCACTACAATTTGCTGTTTAGTGAATAAGCACTATAGGTGGAAGAGCACCCTGCACAAGTGAGCTTGAAGAAGTGGTGATATGATTGCACAAACGGTAGAATTAAAAGCTCAGTATATCTGAAGGAAAGTTTGATTGTCAAGTGTAGTAACAGTGCAAAAATAGTAATAATGTAGAACATATGGAGTTAAAGGCTAAGGTGATTCAGTGAGTGTAATAGGGAGAGATGGTAATTGATTCAATGATATTATTTCCTAAAGAAGCAAATTCTTTAAGGATTTCTTAAAGAACTAGGAAAAGCCTCTATGATTAAGGAAGATTGTTTCACAAGAATGGGGCAGCCCAAGAGAATCGGTGTAGGCAAAGGTGTTGGGCGAAAGTGTACACGGAGGACAGACAAGTGGCACTGGCATGATGTTTACTTGTTAAGTAGTTATGTAATTGACAAATAATGCTCGCTTTTTGCAAACTTAAAGCATTCCGATGGGGAAGCACGAAATAATCACAAACGTGAATTTGAAGATAGACATTCTCATGTAAAGCGTGGGGACTTCACTAGGGATGGAGTAACTCTGCAATGTGTAAATTTTCGTTACTTAAAAACAGCAATGTTTTACATTGCAGGATTAAACGGAAAGGGACACTGCACCCAAATCACTTCAATGAGATGCCTTTAGCATCCCGTTAAGTAACCAAAATATTTGAGACCTGATAAGTGAAAGCTAACCTGAAAACTACTCTATCACGTTAATTTATTTTACACATTTTTATAGTTTGATCTCTCAGGGAATATTCTCAGATGTAAGAGTTATAGCATATATGTTATTCACAGAATGTTGAGTGATAAAGGATAGAAAACATTTGGTTTAAGTGATATAGAACTATGTTTATAACAATGTAAGGGTTGACAAATAAAATGTACCTTATGCAATAAGGTGCTTGGTCTTTGAATTTGGCATATCAGAAGGTGAGGAATAATTGGTTGTGTTGATAGTTGACTGTTAATTTAGAGGGGGTGTTTGATTTGAATGCTATGACTCCTCTATGAATCAGAACTTCTATCACTAATGCATAACCTTGATTATTTTTTTTCCCTTTTCTTTTATCTGTACATTTCACTGAATGTTTTCAGACCTTGATAATCATGTTGCAAAGTTAACTCCTGTTGTGCTTTGCAGATTTAAAATACTGTGGGTGAAAAAAATTCAGGTATTTGAGACCATATTTTGGAACCAAGCTCTCTAAATGTGTGTAAACTGCAACTACCACTCCTCAGCCAAAATTTAAATTAGAATTATGAAAATTGTAAACAATTGATTATTGGAAATGTACCTATTTCCTTCTCTTGGTGTAGATTCAAAGGAGCAGACTAGACACCATAACCACTATATGGTGATTTAGTAGTAATGGTGCAATTAGACAATGAGTTCCATCCTCCGGTTTATAGTCAAAGTAAATATAGGCATTTGAAAATAGTTTGACAAAGAAGATGGCACTCATAGTCTAATTGCACCATTACTAAATCATCATACCATAGTTATGGTGTCTGGACTGCTTCTTTTAATCTACACCAAGTGGCTCCTCAGACTGCTGCATCCGGGCTCTGTTCACCAGAATTGCTATTGCTGGTGTTCCACTTCCTCATTAGCTATTTCAAGTTCATACAAATTTTAACACCATGTAACCTGCATTAAAATATATGTAAATTGATATTGCTAATGTGAAAGTGAAAAATCTGCAAGAGCAAATTGGGTAAACAGGGATTGTGCTTTGGGTGCCTTCGGAACCCCCAGTTTTGGTAAAATAGCTCACAAACGCCTTGACTAAGAACCAGGGGATAACAATATACGCCACCAGTTATATGCAGGTACTCTTGGAGTTGCATTCCAGCAAATGTGAGGATCCTCTACTGTTGCCCAGTACTGGCTGGATATGATATGATGAGTTCTACTCCTCGTGGCTCGGAACGGGTCAGGTTTGCATTCTGTTACTAATTAAGAGCAACTAATTAGATTTTTTTTTTTGGGTCTTGGATTTCAGAGAAGCTACAAAAATGCAATTACAAAAATTGAGTGCAGGTTGCAATTCCACATTCTCTTATTAAAGTGTCAAACTCTATTAGCTCAAGGGAAGATGGTTACTTAGAAGATAAACAAAGATATACTGTGTTCATAGTAGTCTCTCTTGTCCCATTTTTTTAAACAGATTGGTAAGACATATAACTCATAACTATGCTTTTAAAGGTTTGTTTTTATAAATTCCAGTTGACATTTTCAATTGACTTCTACAGATGGAATTTTCTTGGTAACAGGAAGGATGGACATTTTTGAGGAAATTTCTCCTGGGTGTTAATTATGTATTGTAGAGAACTGGCCTACAAAGGACCGTTGTGGACATATTAAATAAATTTTCTCAACGATGTCCTTTCTTTATAAACTTCTCAATGAATTATAGAGGTCTCTGTTCATGGAACTAATCAGACTACCTTCTCAAAAGTATTGTTTTTCATTAGACTGAGGTTTTTTGACTTCTGTCAGATTAAATAATGCAGCTCAGAGTGTTGTAGTATAATACCATACCATAGTGTGTTTTTTCCATATGATTATTTTGTTCTGGTTAAGTATCATGCAAAATGTGGATCTTAGTATCATGGCAAGTCATCATTGCTGTAGATCGTGGTAACACTTTGCAAATATATATCCAGAGGTCAATGTGTTGTATGATTAATCATCCTTCTATGGCCCCTTGTGTTCTCTGTGTTTATTACAATCTGTCTAATTGACTTAGAGAGCTTGCATCCAGCACAGATTGAATTCCAGGAATTGTTTTAGTATATTAGAAAACTCTATGTAAGTTGACAAACATCTCAATCAAAAAGATTTCAGGTTGATACATTGGACAGTATCTTAAGGCTTGAAATGACCCAGGAGCCAGTCTGTGATAGATCTCACTGCATAGGGTGAATTTCAATGATAAAATGTTCCTCTGTGAAAAAGCACAGCAATTATAAAGCAAATCCCGGAGAAGACAGACATCAGTGTTTGTACCTGCATCCTTTATCCTTCTAAGGCAGCAGGTAAACGTAAAGAATTGCCATTTTGTCTTTCATAGTCCTACAGTTTTAAATCTGACAATGGGATCAACAATTTAAACCATTCCAGCCTCAAGAAAGGAAAACCTTCTATATCAATCATGAGAAGATAAAAAAAAACTACTTCCTAAATGTAAAACCAATAAACTGCACAAAATGAAAAAAAAGAAAAATGGCCCAGAACTCATCCAGTGTAGTTAGTGTTCCATATTGATGTTTTTAACAAAAACACTGGATTTGCATTGCTCTTTTGTTGTAAGCACCAATAAAACACACTGATTACATTAAGGTATTGGACCTCACTTTCAGACGATCTCAAAGAATGGTAAATCACAGTGACGTGATCTATTCCTGAAACTAAATTCCAGTTGAATTGAGGCAGAACCCCTGGTCCTTAATTCGGTGCTCAGAAAATATTTTCCAGCATGTTCATAGCATTCTTTAAAAAAAAAAAATTCAAAAAATTATTCGTAAAGGTTAAGGTAGGGAGACTATATGATATTCTACAGTGCCCATGGTTCAAAGTAACCTGTAAAATACTAGAGAAGTTCTATACAGACTAGGGCTTTTTTTGTTGTTGAATCCGCTGTGGTTATGATTGTTGTGGGAGTAAAATTATTTAGTTATGGGTAGCCTCTAGTGTGTTTATTTTTGTAGAAAATTAGATCTCATTTCCTTATACATACTTACCAGACAAATGAATCTGATTTATACTCACACCTTCCTTCCCCATTACTGAAAAGGCATAATTTACTTGTATTACGCATGGACACTGAAGTTTATATGGTAGTATGATGACCTGTAGCCCAGCTTAGGAGTGTAGTATGTTGTTGCTCTACTTGCAGTAACTGAGGTATTAACCTTTTGAGATTCTATTCACCATGCCTTTCTTTACAGACACTGCAGTCTATCCTTTCACAGCAAAATACATGTTAATCCGCTGTAGTCAGCTCTCTGTGCAGGTTCTGTTAAGGTTGATAATTCAAATAGTTATTGTGAGGAGCATAACCTGTGAAAGTCAACACGGCTACAGCCTCCATTATCATAGGGAAAGTTCCTTTTTTATAGCAGATTCAAAGTTCATGCCTTCATAAACTATTTGTCATGATCCCATGGCCCACTAACTTTCTCCAGCACTTTTCAATTTGTTTGCACTTAGACCGAAGAGATCTGATTCACATCTGGTCCTCCTTGGCTAGTTAGCTGCCTTTCTTAAGAACAGCCTTTCCTCTTCTACAGTTGCCAGAAAAATATTTAGAGATTGTTTGGCTGTTTGTTTATAACTTAATTTTGTCTAGAGATCTCTGAAGGCTTTCAAATCTCCCAGAGCCCTACCACACCAGCTAGCAGCTGTTCAAGAGGCCCCCTGATCCAACTGAAGATCCATCTGATGTGTGAATCAACAATGCGTTTCCAGAACCTGATCCTTGTATCCCAAGTATTCTGTACATGGCCTCAGTATCCTGGTTGTCTTGTACTGGGCTTAGTACACCGTATGTCCTGTACCTGTTTTTGCTATATTGAGTGCCCTGAACCTGATCCTAGTATCTTGTGTGTCCTGTACCTGTTTGTACTATCCAGAGTGCCTGGAAATGAGTCCTAGTATCCTGAGTGTCCTCTACCTGTTCCTACTATATTGAGTGCCCTCTACTTGGTCCTAGTATCCTGAGCGTTCTGTATCTTTACGCTTGATCCTTAGTGCCTGAACCTAGTCCTAGTATCCCAAATGTCCTGTTACCTGTATTTGTTCCTACTCTATCCTGAGTGTCCTGACCTGTTCCTGGCATATTGTGTGTCCTCTACTTTTTCTTAGTAGCTCTAGACCTACTGGGGAGTTAAGAGGAATTCTGCAACTAAACATTGTCCTAGTCTCCAGAGTATCCTGTAAAAGTATACTGAGTGTTCCGTACCTGGTACCAATATGCTGAGTTCTTTCTGTTTTATGTTCTTTGTGTTTTATTGATACTATTATTATTATTATTAGCTGTATTTTATTTTTTTCATTATTTGTTTTGCAGTTTTGCAATTAATAATTGTTTTTTTACTTTACTATTTTCCTCTTGTCTTGCCTGTTTATTTTCTACACTTTGCACTGCAGTTAACCAATTTTCTCAGCTGAAACCATCACATTATACAGAATAACATGTTAAGTCAGGAAAGACCAACTTGCGTTGAGCGGCCCCAAGTTGTAATAATATAATTCTGAGAATTGTCTTGAGTATTCATCAAAAATGAATAAAAAAAGATTAGCTCTATGTGGATGATTTGGTTGTTTCACTTGCTTGGGTCACTTAGCGTCTGCTAGTTTTAAATGTGAAATGCATTGTCATCTTCTTGCTGGGTAGATCATTAAGGTGAACTAAGTGCCAGCGCATGTTAACTCAGGGGAGTAAGTTGAGTCTAGGTGGAAGTCAATTAAAACCTAGTCAAGCAGACTAAGGAGAATGAAAACTGAATTCTCTAAACATTTCTACACTTATTTGTAATCAAGTTGTCCTTGACTCTTTCTAATTGTTTATGAAATGCATCACTTATATGAAGAACACAGTTATTAGTAAATAGATGTTCTATTTTATTTTTCTGCAACAGTATTTGGTTCAGTTTAGATTTTTAACATCACGATACAGAGAACAGAGAGCATATCTGGGTGAAATTGTTACATGTAGATTATTGAATTCTAACTAATCCCAAACAGATCTCTGGGGGCACGGGAATCAGCAGGAGAGCCATAGCACGCAGGATGAGTCAGACGTCTTGTTCTAACCTACATATTTAAAATGTATAAAAGAGATGAAATCACAGTGATTTATTAACTTCTTCCCTGCTGAAATGACAGAAGTTAATAAATCAATGTATCTACAGTGGTTTTTGAATTACAATTCCCATGAAAATGTGCCAGTCATAGACCTATGGCCTGCAGTTTGTAGAGCATTAAAGCAATTGTAGTCAAGCCAAGACTGGATATTACCAAGATGGGAAAATGTCCAGATGATTGTGATGATGCCAGGTCTAGGGCTGACTGAGATGATCTGAAAATTAGCATTTGGGCATATAAATCCTCTAACAATAATCCTCATAATGATAATCTCCAAGAAACTGTACTTGGAAGGAAGACCAGATTCCAAGTTTTACATTCACTGTGCCTCCGTGTCCCTGACTGTAAGTAGTAAAACGTTTTTTGTGACACCCCCCACTTCCACTGTTAATGCTGGAGAGCCAGAAGATTCCGGTTGAGAGAGATCAACTGATGGTCTCAGCCAATGAGTTAGTCCTGCATTGCTTCCGGCTCACCAGTGGTAGTAGTGAGGTTGGGAAGCAGAGCCCATTGCACCCCAAGTAGGAAATCAAACTGTTCAAAAATGCTTTGACTCCCTACAATTGAGGGGTGCAAGGACACTCCTGGCACCATAATCACTACAGATATTTATAGTAGTTATAGTCCTTGAAGTATTCCTTTAAGATGACAATCTTTACTCCAAAATAAGTTAAAATATAAATAGCAAGCAATCCAGAATCATGGATGATAGTATTATAGTATAATAATAATAATCATCATAATAATAATAATAATACGTGATGATATGAGCAGAAATAAACTACCACTTTGATTGCAGTACTTTCTCAAGATTCATGCTACCTTAATGTATTTACTCTATTATTACTTGTTTTGACACAAATGTGCAGCTGAGACAAAAGTTAAGTGACCTCTTGGTGGTTATTTTTCCTGTGAATGTTGTACGTAGCGCTTTAGAGAGTTTATCTGTGTACGTTAATGAATTGATTAAACTCCGGCTCAGCCGGCTCGTGCATTCTCTGAAGTGGTGGCTTGAAAGATGGGGGTGTTTTAAGATAGTCAGTGTGTAAATCAATATTAAGAGCAGCTTCTCATCTGAAAGTTAAAGCTGGGAAATAAGTAAATTTGTCATGGAACCACAGCAAGAATATGTACAACCCCAATGTGTGCTTCGTCTCCTGTGCATATAACAGCAAAAAGCCATTCTTCACGACTTTCCGTATCTCTTCTTCTATTTCCCCACAGAGATTGTGTATTCCATTCCTCCCCACTGTTCCCACAAAAAGACTTTATTCCAAGACTGTCTATCTGCAGGAAGTCTGAAGGGGAGGAATTCTGGGCTTTAACAAGACACTGCTTTGTGAAATATACATCTTAATTTAGAGCTCTGAAAGGTCGTAGGAGCATGAAGACGGTAGTTGAGCAGCCATATGCAATTAGGATTATCACATCAATGTTTTAGAAAGAGGAGTGTGTGTGGAAAGGATATACTGTATGAATGCATTTTAATCAGTGTAACCAGGGATTAGGCCCAAGTAAATCGTATTAAGGAGTGATTTTCATAAAAGAAAACAACACTGAAATATTCAAAGGAAAAATATAATGTTCAGTGTAGGAACACTCTGCAGCTGCTATGGCAGCGTGATTATTTAAAACATTATCAGTAGTATCTGATCAGACACAAGGGGCGCAGTTTCCACTGCCAGCAAGGTCATCATAGCATCCTTACTAGGTTGATAGCTTTAGTACCAGTGAGTAAGGTAATTAAAATGCCTTAACAAAGAAAGTCTGTTAGGGCAGGCTTGTCAACAGGCCTGATTTTAGCGGGACAGTGTCCATTTTAGAATCCAGTCCTGTCATCCTGACTCTGTTCCCTGATTTTGTGGACACCAGGGAACTGTCCCCAAAATGTATAGTGTGAGGGCATTTTTAAACAGGCTCATGCTACATTTAGGGCACTAGGACTCTGCAGAGAGAACTGAATAAGTGCTCCCTGCATGGTCCATCCTCAGTGGGCCAGCTTGGGTGATTGGCAGGCAACCTGATGTGTATTTTGGTGGCACCATTGATGTGAATTGCATCACTGTCCCAGGTCCTTTTACCCCTCCCATGGGTGTCCTGTTTTATGGAATGTCAATCTTGGGGGTATAGATTAGGGTTATAGTGAGTCGGTTGTCTCCAGGGTCATTAGTAGATATGGATTGTGCGTAACTGCCTTTACAGAGCCAGCCTTCTGTTGCTTAAAAGTAGCAGGATATTACTGTGATGTCTATTGGCAGAACACAATAGTGAAGAAGTGGGAAGGATTTGTGCAGAGCTTTTGCGAGTCCAGCTTTATATGGGTTTATGCATAGCCCTGCTCTTTGGGCTGAACTGGCCCTTTGGGATATTTTCCAGTGTACTACAGTATCTGAGGCTGTCAGGCAGTATGACTATGATGAGAATATATGATATTAAATAGTGGTGTTCCTGCAGTTCTTATGGTTTTTGGTAAGGATCAGAATGTATACAACTGACAAAAATGGAGCTACTATATTTTATTTTTGGACTTTTTGGAGCTTCACGCAACAACCACGTTTTGCTGCGAGCAACAACCGGTAAGGTACAGTCATCTTCCTGTTTAATGAACAAAAATGCCTTTTGTTTTGCAGGATCTCCCATAGACCCAACTTATGTACTCACACCATGCTCTAGATAAGACCAGTGATGTGGGTTCCTGGCAGAAAACACCTCCAGGAGCTGTAGTTGTAGATGAAGAAAAATAAGGCAGGACCGAGAACAGAGGTTCAGAGAAGGATGTCTACCTTACCCTTCTCCCAGTACACCACCATGGCAGCAGATAGGTCACCTTGGAGAATTGCTGCATTTTTAGGTAAGTGATACCTTTAAAGAAAGATGTTGTTTATACACTGTATAGTTGGTAACTCCATGTAAGCTCCTATTTTTTTTTTTTTATCCTCTCATTTATTACCTGCCTTCTCCAAAAGTCAGCAAAACTGTAATATCAAGTAAGGAAGAATGTCCCATAACTTTTACATTTATATAAATTTATCTGAGTATAGTATTCTATGTAAGAGCCATTTATTTTAGCTTTTACTATCTGTTTAATGAATGAGAAAATTATTGTAGCAATATGAAGAAACAGTGATATCCTTTGTAAGGAAACCTAGTATATTCAATCCTCATTCGGTAGTTTCCTTCCGAACCGCCAGAGCATCAGTGAGTATAGCTCTCCGTTCGGTAGATGGAATAGACGAAATCCATATGAATACAAATAGCTTTACAATATAATTCCCTTAATAAAGCATACGAATCCCCAAACATCAGCCGAAGTCAAGAAGGGTACAACAGAACTGGCTTTTAATGACCACACACAAGCTTTTATGCAAGTCCCCATGCAAGGGGACATCCCACAGGGAGGGACACAGTATAACCAATCAGTTACAGGAAAACAGTAAAACACACCCAGCACAAACATACAATTCCCTCCCCTAGTTCTGGAGATAATCAAGTCTGATAAAGTAATAACTTGATTATCTCCAGGCAGAAAAATCTCAATTTTCCCCAATATCCAGAACACCCATTTAGACATGAGGTATCCCCACAAATAATATGTCCCCTGATAGCCCCGATCTGGGTGACCAACATATTCAAATTTCACCCAGATCGATTCAGGGGTTCGCAAAAAGTGTGGAAGTCCCTTGTGACCGGCTAACCGCGAGGTGGCTGCCCAAAATAGTTCTAGGAATTTGGGTGGTTTTGTCGGTCTATTCTGTTAAGTGGTAAAAACTGAATAATTCCATCAATGGATTCCCCTGGCTCTTAGCAGCGATTGTTCCCCTCATTCGAATGCACAAAAGTACCGAATAGTGCTCTTCTAGCTATTCGGGAAATAGAGATCCAGCATTCGCTTGTTGAGACCGGTGTTCGGGAAGTCGAGCGTCCGATTTTAGTTCCAGACACTCGACGACCAAGTCCCGCTGCCTTTGTTCTCCTGAAAAAATATGGCCGCCGTTTTCTCAGCCACGTGGCGTTCGGTATTACGAACGCTGGCCGCATAGATAGAGGGTTCAATTGAAGCATTCTTTGAGGTTTAATGATCCAGGGGGTGGTATATGTTCGGTAGTTATATCTACCGAATGAATATGGAAGAAATAGTACACATAAAGAGGGATCTCTTCACATCCTTAAAAGCTGCCCTTATTAAAGTGGCTCTGTCATCAAAATGTATTACTCAATAAATACATTATAGTCTCTCAGCCAATTTTCGTTATGTATTTTACACCTAATAAAACTTATGAAAATGTCTAAGATATTTACTACTTATTGCAGTACCAGTATGTAACAAAGATGACATTTTAAAAGTGTTTTCCCAACCCAATTTTCTCTCTTCTGTTTCTTATTTTCCTTCCAGCTCACGTTATTACAAGAAAGAATGCAAGCATTATTATCCGTTGTGCTCTGGCACATTATATTAATGCAAATGCACAAGGTACCTGGGCTAAATGTGGTAGCTAGGTAGCTGCATCTCCAAATGTGTTTGCTATATTTCCTAACTATGGTGATGTTGCAAAATGGCAGTCATTCAACAGAAGGAAAATACCAGTTCCATCAAATACCCACCATGCCCAAGAAAAATAAAATTATGTCATGGGAATGTGCATAGCTGGAAGACAGTTCCTTTAACTACTTTTATTGCAAGTCTACGTAGGAGTTTAGAGTTGTTCTCAGAATGTTTTATAGAGGGTTATTGGATTGGTAACTTAATTTGACATGCTGGATTTACTCTCCAGTGTCATTTTAGGAGCAGCAGCATGGAACTTTGAAATGGAACAGACCTTGATAGTTGCTTAGTACAGTAGAGTAGAGCAAGGAAAAATAAGGAGGGAGGTGTGTCAGGAGAGAAGGGTTGTGGGGAGACACTGATTAGGTGCTTAGGCAGCAGAGGGCATCCATGCCAGTGGTGGAAACAAGTACTGTTAGGATCGAGAGATCGGGTGATGTGATGACTGGTTTGGAGATAAGAACAACATTTTGGGGAATTGGCTGCAGGTAATTTTCCCATGCGTGGTGATGCAAAAAGTTCCAAATAAAGCTCCTCTTTGTTCTGATACATAGTTTTAAAAGGTGTATAAGACATACAGTTGATTGATATGGTGGCGACATGATGAGAAATTTCATCAGCATCTGTCATCTTACAGTATGGGTAGGATCAGATGAACCTTCTGGTTGCAGCTCATACTTTTCCAAATGTCATCAAATGGAATGTCAAGATCACTGTCATATATTTCCATGATTTAGAAAGTAGATAGAATTTGGTACCGCTATGTGGGATTGCCATATTTAAGGGTATTACATTTAAGAGGGATCTGTGTTTAGTAGATTGCTACCTTATTTGGTAACCTTAAATATGGCAAGCCCACATTAAGGGTACCAAATTAGGAAGCTATCTACTAAGGTGCTGAAAGATCAAACTTAAGAAAAAAGATTTTCATAATTTTGAACTTTCAGCTTTATAGCAGATAACTCCCTAAATAAAATTGGTACAACAATTGCCATAGTTTAGGGTACCACATTAGGGAGCTGATTAGTACATATGGTTTCCTTATATGGTATCCTTAAATATGGATGTCAGGCAGGTATAAGATCAACATTTAGAACATCACATTTCTTATTTTTTATCTTTCAGTTATTTATTAGATTGTTCCTTAATGTGGTACCCTTATATAGAATTGTCATATTTAAATTAGGGAACTATCAACTAAAGACAACAGCTCTCTAATTTAGTAGTGGTACCCTTAAATATGGAGTAGTCCCACATAGGTGTACTGGTTTTACACGAGTTAACTAATGAACAAATTGAATGATTTTTTTTTTTTTTTTTGTTACAAGTCTTTCCATCATTAGTTAATTATTCTTCCATTGTGATATTTGGAATTTGCTCAAATTGATTAATCAGCCAATTTTCATACAAATCACATTTTTTTCCGAAAACAAATGCACAAGTCTAATGAAAAGTCTCTGATTCCAATTGAGGCAAAAGTTGTGCCAGGAGAGACAATTAAAGTGTCTCCACATTTGCACTTCTCTTAATTTACATCTTAAAGGAACACTCCAATGGAAATATTTATTTTATTTATCTTTTTCTTTTTTTTTTAAATAATTTAAATTGTCTTTATTTCTCGTGTACAAGGAAATGGGGTACAGAAAAGAAAGGGGAGCATTCAATGATCACATTTCAGGGTTACATGAACAGTGCATCTCTAATATATTTAACATCACAAACGTAAGCGTCCCGGCAAAAACTTGTCCGGGGTTACTTCAAGGTTATACAAAAAGGTGTACACTTTTCCTTTAGTGGAGGACGGAAAACAAGAGGTTGTCCCCTTTCCTTCCCGGGTATGGTGGTGTGTGTCAGTAACCGTAAAGATCAGTAGGTAGTGATCCCTGCCTAGATTGGGGTAGCCATTATGTGGTTCCTTTTAAACTCTTCCCGTATTCAACATATTTTTGCTGTTTCATGACTCGCTCCTCTTATCTGGCTGCTAAGGGTCCAGTCCCGCCCAGGGCTGTCTCTTGGACGGTTATGTCCTGGAATGAGTCCAAAACTCTGTCCAGGGTTCCCAAGTCTTGAGGTGTCTATTACGTTTCCCCATTATCGACCAGTGAATGTCTTCTAGTTCCCTCACTCCCTCCACTTTTTGTACCCATTGTTCTATGGTCGGAATACTGGGTTTACGCCAGTACAGTGGGATCAGGGCGTTTGCCTCACCTAGCAGAATGTGCAGTAAATGTTGCCTGTAAACGTGCGTGGCCAGCCGAGCAGTACCTGGGGTGCCGTTAGGCGGGTAGCTGGTGCTAGTATCTTTGTAATCTCAGAGATTATGAGTTGCCAGAAACGCTGAATGTCCTGGCAGCTCCACCAGATGTGTAACATATCCCCTCTACCGGCTGAGCATCTCCAGCAGATATTGCTAAGTGAAGGGCATATTGTGTGTAATACGGCTGGTGTTCTGTACCATCTGGTAATCCGTTTATAGAAGGTCTCTTTACGTGTGACACTTATCGAGGTTTTGAGACCTGTCTCCATAATACTTGACCAGTCCTTGGCCGTTAGATGTATGTGGAGGTCTGTCATCCATTTCTGTTGGAATGTGGGAGTCGTAGGGTCCCTGTCTGCCGACTGTAGGATACGGTATATTTTAGACAAGGGCCGTTTACGGTCGCCCCTTGGGCCACAAAGGAGTTCAAAGTGTGTATCTCCTCTTCGGGTCCAAAGGGGGAGGACGTGTCTCGTCAGGAATCCCTTAAGCTGTGCTCTGCTCATAGTGTCTAGGAGGGTGGTATGTCTCTGTGTTACTTGTCTGTCTTTAAATGTAGGTGGGTCATCCTCAGTTAGCAGCTCAGTAATGTCCGGTGAGTATGTTCCCGTGAGGCGGGCAAGAGAGGGCCCCCCTGTCCTTGCTGGAAGTCAGGGTTATAGGCCGTGGGGAAAAAATCTCGAGATTCCAGGGGACAGTCCCCACTTATCTTTGTGTCGTCTCCAGACTGTGAGCGTGTTGTGAATGAGTGGGTGTCTTGAGGGGGTTAGGTGTTTGAGTTGGCATGTTTGCCACGGGAGGGTCTTGAGAGGGACCGGTACAAAGCTCTGTTCTAGATCGTACCACAATCTTTTCTTACTCGTGTCTGTCCACTCTTTTAGTGTGGTAAGTAAGACTGCTACATAGTATTTATATATGTGAGGTAATCCCAAACCCCCCCTGTCTGTGGTGGACGTCAGTGTGGTAAAGGCAAGTCTTGCCGGTTTGTCTCCCCATATATATTTAACGAAGATAGTCCTCATTCGTTTAAAAAATGTCCCTGGTAGTGGAATAGGCAGGGCCTGAAGCATATATAGTATTTTTGGCAGGACCATCATTTTTAAGACACTGATCCTGCCCATTAGGGAAATATGGGGTAAGTCCCATCTATGCAGATCTTGTTTAATATCCGCTATGAGGGGAGGGTAATTGATGTTGTAAAGTTCCGTGATGGTAGTGGTAAGTCGAACCCCCAAATATGTCAGGCCTGTCCGTGTCCAAGGGAAAGTGTGCGTTTGTTGAAGCGTAGTTTGTAGTGCCACGGGTACCGAGATTCCTAGGATTATATCCGTGTTGATTTTAAAATTTGAGAGCGATCTGAAGACTTGAATCTCCGACTTAATGTGATGTAGGGTTTTTATGGGATCCGTGATTGTAAACAGAACATCGTCCGCAAACGCAGAGACTTTCACTTCGCCTCTATGGTACCGGAATCCGTGTATGTCAGTATTAGACCGAATCGCTGTTAGGAATGGTTCCATGGCTAGGACAAATAATAGGGGAGATAGTGGGCAACCTTGGCGTGTGCCATTTGTAATGTGGAAGGGTGTAGATAGTTGGCCGTTTACTCTGACATTGGCTGAGGGGCCTCTGTATAGAGTCTGTATCCAGTTCATAAGTCTAGGACCAGTCTACCCTATCAAAGGCTTTCTCAGCGTCTATTGCCATTAAAAGTGTTGGTGTTCTATTGATAGTTGCTCCATGTATAACATTTAAGATTTTCGTGGTATTGTCCCTGGCTTCACTTCCCGGCACAAAACCAGCCTGGTCTGAATGGACCAGATTTGGCAGTAAAGGTTTAAGCCTGTTTGCTACCATTTTCGCCATCAATTTGAGGTCTAGGTTTATAAGGGATATGGGCCTATAGCTGCCGCATTTTGTGGGGTCTTTGCCTGGTTTACGTATGATAGTAATCGAAGCACAAAGCATGGGGGGTGGAAGCACCGCGTCGTGATTGAGGCCATTCAATGTATGTTGAAAATGAGGGGATAGCTCTTGTGTTAGTGTTTGGTAATATCTCGCCATAAGCCCGTCTGGGCCCGGGCTTTTCCCCTTCGGTAAGGACTTAATGGTTGCGAGTAGCTCCGCCTGCGTGAACGGTTCATCTAGTGTGTGTGAGTCAGCGGCCGGGATAGTGCGTGGGAGTTGCGCAGCGACATATTCTCTCAGGTTGTGGAGTTGGCCATTTGGGGGGGCTAGGTTATACAAATTTGAGTAAAAAGCGTTGAATGCCTTTGCTATGTCATCGGTGGTGTTGCATGCCTTCCCTGTGCCGTCTGTGACCTTGTCAATGAAGGATCTCTGTTGTTTAGTTTTCAAAGCTTTGGCCAGTAGCTTCCCACTCTTGTTACCCTGAGCGTAGAAAGTGCTCCTTGTCAATTGTACTGATCTATATGCCTTTACAGCTAGTAACGATCTTAGTTCTATGCGTAGGGCAGTCAGGGTCTGGAAATTGTCGCTAGTGGGATCTTGTTTGTGTTCTGTTTCGGCTACATGTATGGCCGCTGTCAAGGTATCAATTTTACGTGATCGTTCCTTTTTAATCCTAGAACCCCACTTAATGAAAGTGCCCCTGATGACCCCTTTGTGGGCCTCCCAGACCCATGAGTCCGATACCCCATTGTTTCTGTTTTCAGTAAAATAATTGTTCAGAGTCTGTCGTAGGTCTAACAGTACCCTGGGTTATCTAGTAAAGATTCGTTTAGTTGCCAGTGAGAGGCAGGTTTAGGTTCTTTTTGGATGGTGAGTGTCAGGAACACTGGGGCATGGTCTGACCATGTGATTTTCCCTATGGATGCTTCATTTAGTAAGGGGAGGTGTCTGTGGCTAATGAAAAACATATCTATTCTAGAGTAACTGTTAGCTGTCTGTGAATAGTAGTAGTAGTCCTTTTCCTGTGGGTGTAGTATGCGCCAGCAGTCCACTAGTTGGTGTGAGTGGAGCAGCTTGGAGAGCAAGAGTCGTTGGTGGCGCCTAGTGTCTGTGGCCCGAGAGGAGCTGTCAATTGAATGATCAAGTACCATATTCCAGTCCCCCCCCACTATCACCACTCCCTCAGCAAACCCCTCCAGATGGCCAAGTATGAACAGATATAGGAAGTTTGGTCTGCATTAGGAGCGTAGATATTCGCTATTGTCACTAGTGTACCATTATAGGCTCCTTTGATAAACACATATCTGCCCTTGGGGTCAGTTTTAACATCTGACTTCACAAAGGCAGCACTAGACGCTATAAGTATTGCCACCCCTCTGGCTTTCTTGTGAGCATTATTACTGTAGTATGCTGTGTGGGCGCCTTTAGTACGTATGTTCGGTTGAAAGTCCCCTCTAAGGTGGGTCTCTTGCAATAGGATTATATCGGCTCCTTGTCTTTCTATCTCCTGCGCCAGCATAGTGCGCTTCATAGGAGAATTCAGTCCCCGCACATTCAGGGACATTAATTTAGTCCGGGTCATTTTAGCATTCTATGAGACAATATCATATCTGGTGAGTCAAAACATACTTTGTCTAGTACGAGAGTCGTTTGGGCTAAATAGGCAGGATTGGTTTTGGGAAGGTGAACCGGGGATAAACACAAACTATATACATTGGTATGATATGGCAAATGCATATCGTGCGTCGAGATTGGCGCTACACTTGTGAATAACGCCATCGTGTCCACAAGTGTTTGCGGGGCGCCTCTCTTGGGGTGGTGGTCGGGGTGGCTGACCGGGGTGGTCTCAGGGGTTCCACTGGGTTGTCTGGTCTAAACTGATAGCCTCCGTTTCCAGCTTGTCCTAAGGACTCGTGGGTCATGAGTTGGCTCGTCTAATAATTAAGTCCCTGTGGACCGGGCCTTTAGCGTCTATAGTCGTCCATAATGTTCAAACATATATTATTCAAGGCTTTGGGCCTGGTTATGGCAATTTCAATAATACAGTATTAAGTAGCGTATAAAATACATAGTAAAGTATAACTAAAGTTGGCAACATGGTGAGACGTGGGTTAATACATCAGAGTTTGTGAGCTTAGTGCAATTATATAGCAATATAAACAGTTATAGGATTATGTTATACGACCGTAGAGCTTCTCAGGCAGGCTCTTCCCTGGAGGGTGCGGTGTTGTCTGCGTGAGACTGGGTTTGTCTTCGTCTCTTCTGTGGGGTCTTTTGCCATTTAGACTTTTGTGGGATTTGCTTGGTCATGATCCCGTTAAGTCCTGTCCAGTCCTCTACGGCAGATATCGGCAGGTTTAATGCTTTCTGAAATCCTGTGACCTCCGCTGGTGTGGTAATAACATGAGTCCCTTCCGGAAGATTTACAATCAGTGCAAACGGGAAGCCCCAGCGAAATGTAATTTTCTTCTCCAACAGGGCTTGTGTGATGGGTCTCAGTGCTCGTCGCGCCAGTAGCGTGGAGGGTAAGAGATCCTGAAAGACCGTCACCACATGACCATCCACTGATAGATTTTTATTTTGGCGGGCTTTATGAAATATTTCCTCTTTAAGGGGAAAGTTGTGGATCCGGCAGATAAGGTCTCTTGGTTTATCTGGAGCTAAGTTCCTGGGCCTAGCAGCCCTGTGGGCCCTGTCAAAGGCAATGGCTGTATCAGGGGGTCTGGTCAAAATACGATTGAATAGCGTGGTTAGGATTTGAACGGGATTTTCAATGATTCCCTCAGCGCCTTCTGGTATGCCTCTCACTCTCAGATTATTTCGGCGCCCCCTGTTGTCTACATCCTCCAGCTGCCTCTGCAGGTACCTTATTGCTGCAGCATGCATCTCCTGTGTGGTGTATGACTCAGCCCATTGCTTATCAGCGTTTTCCATTTTCTCCTCCATGGCCTGCACCCTAGCTCCAAGGTGCTGTACGTCTGCGCTGACCGCCTGAAGTTTTTCGCTGAAGCTGTCCTCTAACTTCTGGAACATAGCTGCTATATCTGTTTTGGAGGGCAGTTGATGTAGTAATGCCCTAATATCTTGTTCCTCAGTGGATCCGTCCGAGGCTGTCGGGCTTGGTGGCTGGCTGCCGCGCACGTGTGCAGTGGGCGCCATTTTGTCCCGCTTGTGCGGGTCTGTTTGTTCGCCGAACAATCTCCTCAGGGAGGTTTTGGCTGATGGCTGGTCGGTCGCGGGAGGGTTCCCCGTCATGTTGCGCTGCTTTTTCGACGCCATTTGCGGTAATGTATTGCCGTTATACCCCTTAGTCTCCCGGTCAGGGCTGGAGCTCAGCGCTCATGCGACCATGTACCTCGGCGTTCAGACCACGCCCCCCCCTTATTTATCTTTTTCACAAATTAGTATATATACCCCAGTGGGAGCATGCGTGGTTACATCTGCAAAAAACATGCAAAAGCTGCAGATCTTTTGTCTGCAGTTTTCACAAGACCCTTCTGACCCAGCTTAGACTTTCTGTGGCTGTCCAATCACAGTCAGTCCGATGCAGCTCAATGAGAAGTCTTTGCAAGGCAGACGTTCAGGACAAGTGTTGCCTCTTGAGTTTAACTCAACTGAGCTAACCAAACCAGGAAGTAACATAACTATCTGATTGAATTACTCAACTGATGGATGATCTGTCTGTATCTAAGCAGTAAGCCTTTTCTTCTCTCACCTACTTCTACCTGGTTTCTCAAAACAAATATTTTTCCTTACAAGCCTGCTCTATTTTTTTCTTAATATCTAATTTCCATTGTATGCTCAATTATTATGCTTTCTGTTTTCATGATTTTCTCCAACCAGTTTGATTGCAAGCTCTGTCAGCAAGCAGCATCCATCCAGTAAATTATACCAGGACTCATATGGCAGACAGTATCTTCCTGCTGGGAGCATGTCTCAACCCCCTCTGTGAACTGCGTACCTCACAGCGCTCAAAGCTATTAGTTGTTAATATTATTCCATAATATTTGCATAACGACACTATCTCTGTGCAATCTTTTTTTTTTTTTACTGTGGATATAAAAGCCACAGCCTGCATGGTACATTATAGTAGGGATGCATCCATCAAGAACTCTGCATCCCAAAAATAATTTAGGCAAATAAAAAAGTGTCACCTATCTAAAAATGTTAACCTTATAGTACCAGGAATCTGCTTTGCTTGGTCGTGATATTATAATTATGTAATGCACCTTATTATTATACAAAGCATTCTGTAATGAGGAGAATGAAAAATAAACATTAAGTAGAGGGTCTTAGGATGTATGTTTGCTTCATGATCTAGGTCAGCACATGAAGAGTGCTGTTGCAGCATTCATATACTGTAGGAGGATGGTCATTTAATTAATCATTTGTATCTCCTACTTAAGCAATTAATTCATTTCTTCTTGCAATTTTACATGCACTAAAATAGCACATATCATGTATGACCTAATAGCACACATAAGTGACATACACTGATCAGCCATAACATTCAAATAATTTCCCTCATATTGTGTAGTAGACATGTGCACCAGTGAAATTTTCGTTTCGTATGAATGATTTCGTACTAAATAAAAATTTCATTCATCAATCCAGAATTTCTTCCACAAACAATTCATTTTCGAATGAAATTCGTTAAAAAATTATTAGTTTTTGTCTACCAGCTCCCTCCTTGTAATAACTAACCATTCCTCCCCCCCGCATTAAAACCTATGGGGGGTCACTATAGTAATAATAGGGAGGTTAAATCCTCCCGCATGCCCCTACTCACGGCATGCATATAGTAGGGGCATGTCGCCAGTGGCTGCTCGCTGTCATTTAACATTAAATATAAATAAAGAAGGGGGTCACTATGATCCCCATATTAATAAAAGGGAGGTTAAATCCTCCTGCATGCCCCAACTCGTGGCATGTTGCCTAAACAAATTTGCTGCCCAGTCACTAGTGCAATAAGGGGGGACCTGGCACAGGTTAATTTCAAGCCAACCAATCAGAGTGCTGTGACAGGTAAACGTAGAGACTTACCTGTCAGTCTCTTCATTTACCTGTCAGAGCACTCTGATTGGTTGGCTTAAACTCTGAGCCTAATTGCAGGGTGGGGGATGGCTTTATAAGCCCTTTTCCCTGCCCTGTGGATCTCATTCTGTGCCGTGCCCTCCATGGGTGAAGAGAGATTATTTGTTTAACGTCAGGATTTTTTTTCCACTATTTTTTTTGCCATATATTTATTTTTTTATTTTAACAGTTGCAACGGATATTATGGATTTTTTGTGAGCTGAAAAAAGAAAAGAAGAAAGAACATGCGTTTTTCTGGATTTTTAATTTTTTTTATTCTGTCTCTCAATGTTAAAATACACCTACCATTAAAATTATAGACTGATAATTTCTTTGTCAGTGGGCAAGCGTTCAAAATCAGCAGGGGATCAAATACTTTTTTCCCCTTACTGTAAATATGTGAATACCAGGCATATGTTTTGTTACCACTTGCTTAAAGCGGCACTGTCATGCCGAACTTACCTTTCCACAATCTCTTCCTCTTCTCCCCCTCTCTCGGGATCTGTTCTTCTTTTCTTCCTGTCTTCTTTAGTTTTCTTTAAAATCATAAGACGAAGTAGGGACTCTTTGCCTTATGGAGGATTCCTCCGCTTGACCAGC